AGCCTAAACACGTTACACAACTACATTTTATACATTATCCAGATTATGGCAAGGCAGAGCATATAATCAGAGTGTTTGAAAGCATTTTATTTACGATATATAGAGGGACAGCGACACACTATTTGCATCACATACAGTTTGTGAGGATTACACGATCCACCGAGAGGCACAGCAAAGTGCTGCCTCATCGCGCATCTCCTCCATGTATTTGAACGGGACATACGGAAATTCTGCTATTCTTTATTGAAAAAAATTCCTTCAACATCGGATTCGAACGGCAAAAGGGGCCTACAACACACACCAGCCCACAAATATTAACATTTATTATATTTTATGGTTAACTTTTTTTTCTTTTCAAGATTGACAGGGGAGGCTCTGCCTCACCTGCCTCCCCTGACCGCACGTCACTGTTAGAAACATCTGTCAGACAATTTGTATTTAGACTAATTCTCTCCCATAGATCTCTCTGAGTTGACCTCAACAATTGGTTCATCTAAATCATCATGTCTCCTGGACCCCATCCCAACCAGCCTGCTCAAAGACATCTGGCCCCTAATCAACATGTCCATATTAGATCTGATTAACCTCTCTTTATTAACAGGTTATGTTCCACAGACTTTTAAGGTTGTTGTAATTAAACCTCTACTCAAAAAGCCTACTTTTGACCCAGGTGTTCTGGCTAATTATAGACCAATATCCAATCTCTCATTTATTTCTAAAATCCTTGAAAAAAGCTGTTGCCTGTATGACCTGTAATTTCTTACTTCTAAACTCTGACAAAACCAAACCATCTGACCTTACTTTGTAAAGTCTCCTGAGATGACTTTTGTTGTGATTTGGCATTATACAAATAAAATTTGAATTGAATTAAATTGAACTGACTGATTCTCCAAAGGGAGAAAATATATAAATCTAAAAAGTATATTTATTAGTACATACTGCAGTTTGGTCAATCTTAATGGACATTTTATGCATGACTGTGCATTACAGACAGATGAGAAATGAAAGGAAAACACAACTTAAGCAATCCCAGTAAGGTGTTGGGCCCCCAGAACAGTGTCAGTGCACCTTGATACTACGAGTCACTCATCTGTAGGTTTCAACAAGTCCTCCAACTTATATGGCCCATACTATGGTTGTTTATCCCTTCCCTCTTGTACCACCCACAGCAGCATCTCCTTAAATGGTAGTGGGTGGAAAAGCAAACATTCTGCCAACATTAATGACAACATACAGTACATAGCACTGCCAAGCCTGAACTGCTTCATTTGTTACTATTTCTAAGACAGTATTAGGAGTTTAAAAATCTCAGAGGCAAGTCATTACTCTCTCACACCATTCAGTCAAGAAAAACATGGATGACATAGAAGCCAGTCAATAATTACTGTACACTGTATGAATAGTGATGTCAGCATTTGACAGCTGGGGCATGATGCTGTAGTTAAGTTCCATCTCCAAAGCTTAGTATCAGTCTTATAAAAGACCCTTCACTAAATACGTTTTCAGCTTTATACCTGTAAACTAATTGCTACTGGTCAAACTTTGAATAGTGAGCTGTCCTTGATTTTATACCTAGCTTCACAAAAATTGTATTAAAAATACAAAATGTTGATGGGAGGCATTTATGAAGTGTTTGGTGCCCCTCTGCTTCAGCTGACTAATCAGAGGGAGAGGCCCCATGTTGATGGTGACAAAGAGATGCCTGTTCTGGGGTATTGTGCTTCTCTAAATGGTTGGTGAGGTCCAGGATGAGGGCTGTAGAGCTTCTGAGGATGGGTCACTGGGTCGAGGTGTTTATTCTGGCTGATTAAATTAAATCAACATTAAATCAGATAACTGTC